TAAGATGACATTTATTGTGGCAAACGCGGCCACCACCCCAAAAGTACAGTTCAAAGACGGTAAAACTGTCAGTGATATATTCGAAGTTGCCAAATTGGGCAAAAACAACCCTTAAATGGTTGAACTTTTCTTCGCGCCAAAAGTAAGCAAACGATTTACTCCTTTGCACAAATAGAAATGTTGCAACACTTTCCACAACTTCAAAGCTTATTTGATGATTTTGCTGCAGATTCATGTCCTGTTAGCATAACTATCGAATAAACCATATCGTTTACTTTTATGTAGACAATGGACACTCTGAATAGCGAGGGGAACTTGGTTGTAACTGTGCAATCACCTTCAGAGGGGGACTGTGCCCTAAATAGTGAAGTTAAGGGCTGTTTTAAAAGTAAGTTAAGCACAACCAATATCTACCAGATACAGACTTTGAAATATTCACATGCATTTCGCACTGTACCATCCTCTTAATACGTTTTAACTCAAGTAGCCGCCACTGTCCTGTGTGCTAGTTTAAGACAAGGTCACGGTGACATTTGCTGTGGCAAACGCGGTCACCACCCCAAAATAACAGTTTAAAGACGGTGACACTGCCAATGAAATAGTCGACCTTTCCACATTGAATCAAAATCAAAACCTGTACACAGTTGAACTTTCCTTCATGCCAAAAGTAAGTCAACGATTTACTCTTTTGCATAAATAGAAATCTTACAACGCTTTCCATGAATTCAAAATTTGTTAGATGATGTTTGCTGCAGATCCATTTTACTGTTATCATAACTATCGAATAAACCATCTCAGCTATTTTTATTTAGACAATGGTCACTATGGATGCCAAGGGGGAACCCGTTGCATTTGTGCCATCACCTTCAGAGGAGAACTGTGCCCTAAATAAAGAAGTTAAGAACTGTTTCAAAAGTAAGTTGAACACAACCAATATCTACCAGATACATAGTTTGAAATATTCACATGCATTTCGCACGGTACCATCCTCTTTATACGTTTTAACTCAAGTGACCGCCACTGTCCTGTGTGTGCGTTTCAGCCAAGACCACGGTGTCATTTACTGTGGCAGACGCGGTCACCACCCCAAAAGTACAGTTTAAAGACGGTGACACTGCCAATAAAATAGTCGAACTTGCCTCATTAACCCCAAATCAAAACCTGTACACAGTTGAACTTTCCTTCATGTCAAAAGTAAGTCAATGATTTACTCTTTTGCATAAATAGTAATGTTACAAAGTTTTCCACGACTTCAAAACTTGTTGGATGATGTTTGCTGCAGATTCATGTTCTCTTAGCATTACTATCGACTTATACATCTCATTTACT